ACTTGAGTCACTGTCTTTCCATAGTCTGACAGAATAGTCATTCTCCCAGTCAGTGGGTACCTCCTCTAACTTTTAGAATTTCTATAATATTGGTGCAAGGATATCCATTGAGGTTTCCAGATCCGTTTTCGGTGCTCATGGAGGAGCTCCGTCTAGTTCTACCCCTTCTTCGGTCGTTTATCGATAAATTATTGGAACTCAAGCATTCTGCTTTTGGTGTAGGGCGGTTCTGTAGTTGGTTTTGGTTTTTCTGGACGAGTTTCAGTCTATGGTCAATTCAGGAATTCTTGATATAAGTATAAAACGTGGGCACTATGGTAGAATATAACTCCATTATGGATGAGATTTTATTTTGATAAATCATATTTTAGCTCTACCATTTCATTTTTGTCTATTCAATCTGTATATTCTTCCTTATTAAGTCAATTGTTACTATTACTACTCTCACTTTTAATTGTCCCCGGTATTATTTCACTTGTTCCCCTTGTCATTCTAAATCAATTCCTTTATGCAACATTAAATTCTATGCTATTAAATTTCACACAATATTACTTAACGTTTTTATTCTTTCGATTTGTCTACTAATCTTATAATTGCACACCTTTTTCAAGTTCTATCCATCCTATGAATTATTCTATATATGACATTAATTTGCTTTGCCACTTGACATTTAACTACGATTATAATCACAAACATTTTAGTTTTAATTGCATTTCACATCATTATTATTATTTTATGCATTCACACCTATGTTTCAATTCCCTCACCGGATATAACTTCTTAAAAAAACCATATATATACGATTGTACAGCTTGATGATAAATTCGTTGAAAAGAGTCTCTTCGCTGAATCATTTGTTTTGATTTTCTAAAATCACATAGTGTTATACAGTAGTATTAACTGAGGACGTTTCGAGCACACACAAACTATTGCTCACAATCATATCAAGTTACTCACACAACTTTTTCTCCATTTATATACATGAGTGAAATTGATTAGATATTTGAATAAAAACTAATATAGGATAATTTACATTCAGAAATAACAATATGAGTGTTATTGATCAAATACAATCAAATGGGAAATAAGACGAGTGTTTTTATAGTCAAGATAAGTAACTTGTTACAATGTTATGACGTTCGTGAACTGAAAAAGAATTTTAAGATTATTTATTATCCTCCTCTGATTTTCCGCTCTCATTAATGGGGCACATCAACTAACCGACTTCTCCATGTCTTTTACTGACCTGTGTCATTTCTTATCTCAGATTCTAGGAAAAATTACTTTGTTTCTCATAATTCTCCTATGCTTAGAATTTCCTGTTGAGTTCACTTTGATTTTTCAGGTGTCCGGTCTTATAGCTGACTAGTAAACTACTGAACTAGATGGGGTTATTATAACAACTACAACTAGATATTGTCATTTGTCTTATAATGCGTATAATGTATATACATATACTGTTAATATCTTGAATAACAAACTTTTCCTGCATCTTCAACTGTGTGAGCCACAGGTTATTCCGCACAGTTACTCAGATTTCACTGTTATTTATTGCTTAAATAGAGTTTAAATTGAAGTGAACTTATCTGAGGTTCACTCTGAGGCATTGACATTCTCCATTTGTGATATTCTATTATGTGTATAAATAATTTTATAATGTGTAGATCTGACCTTATATGTGATGTATTTCGTTTATTGTATAGAAAACATGCTTATTCATATGTGATAACTCTGATCACCACTCAGAGACTTAAAAATCTAATGACGAGTGGTTTTATTTTATCAGTCTGACAGTCAGGTGATAAGTCTATTCCTTCTCCCTTGTTTATGCAGGGCTTTAGAGGTAAACCTTTCTTTATGTGAATGAGAACTCCGTCCTAGAATTTCAGCATTATCAAAACCAATACTTTGTCCTCTTTCTATATGATTCATTGCTATAGCTGATCCTCAATCCAGACATCTTCATTTCTAGGTGGACGCTTAGACATGGCCATTTGCATTCATCCGTCGACTGCTTTACCGTATATATATATATATATATATATATATATATATATATATATATAATATGAGATATTATTAGGTTGGCTGATTTCAAGTGTTGGGAGTAATGATTCCAAGGCATTTCAGTTTTCCACTCAACTCACTTTGTATATGTATGTATACTTTAACCAAATTAGAAACATAAGTTGAATGTTTCTACCTGTGGCCTCAAATCATTTAGAAGCACTGCTGTAGTAATTTTTACATTATCAAACATTTAACTGTTGCAAAAATAAACTGGATCTCACACAAAACTGTCCATGTTTAGAGAATGGAGCGAACGTGATATCTGAAAATTTTGGAAAACCAGGGGCTAATTTTATGAGAAATAAAGAAAACAGAAAAAAACAACAACTAGAAACATAAAACAATAATATTCTTTCATGCATGAGAGGTCAAGTTAGTTTTCAAACGTTAGACACAACAAAACGTATCATGCATGTGTGTGCATTTAAATGCGCATAAAATTCTGTATAAGTGTAGAAATATAAGCAAAATTCAGCCTTATTTACATAGAACTAAGCGATGGAATAGTACGTAATTTTCCGTATCAGAATAAGGCAATTATTTTTACACGAAAAATGGTTCATTTCTTTGTAGTATTTCAATATTTCAAAATATTAAATATTCCCATAGTAAAATTTAGTGCAACACATTTAAACGAACACTAGTGTTTTCAATTAGATCTCATCAGGCCTAACTCTAATACACATAACTTCATAAATAAGGATTCAAATATACACCAATCAGGTGTTTTGCCAAAAAGATGATAAGATTGTGCATATAAATTGTGCAATTAGTCATAATAATAGTAATGATAATGATGATTCTACCAATAACAAGGATTAAAAAGTTAGGTGATCTGTGATAACAAGAATAACGAGTAACAGCATGATTAAACAGACAAATATTCACGTGGACATAGTAGCCGATAAACGCTAAGAAAAATAAATGGACCAATTAAGTTATGACAGATTGTTAGGGAAGTAAACGAAATACGTTATAATGAAGATGTGATAAGATTAAGGGATGATAAGAGAGGGGTTGGAAATATAAGTAGGGGATGGTTGAAAATTAATATCAATATATAATTATAATTTATTTGGTGGTGGAGAAGTCGTCAGTTGCTTAGGTCTTAACAGTCCAAGGGAGGGATAATGGCTGTACGAACTTCTTTTGACTGCATAGTTTAGGCTTAATAGTTCGAATGCCTATCGCCTCAGCTGTGTGCTGTAGACGAATAAAAAGTCTATTGGAAAGATTAGAAGGAATGCGATGAAATACCTTGAAAGCTTTCGTTTTCCCCACTACGTGACCACTATCAAATAAATGTGACGAAACAGAGCTACGGATTATTTTTGTCTGTCCTTTGTCAAACCACGATGAGAGATGTTCAGTAACAGGTTGGCTAAGCTGTCCAGTAGTACACCCAACATAACTGTCGTCGTAGGTGCATTAATGGCCACGTAACTAATATGAGGGACAAACGTATTACTATTCACGAATGTGCCACTTATCGAAATCACTGAAAGTCAAATGTACTTAGGAACTCCCTTGTGTATTACGTGAACTCACTTCAGATTTCTTCGCTTAATCATTTGAAAAATAAAATAAGTAAATACAAGTTTAGTCTTCTTCTGCTTTAAAGTTTCTGTAGCAAAAGAGTTGTTTGTTACAAGAGGAGCTTGCTGGCTCATGAACACCCTTCTCTCTTTGCCAGTCCTAGGATCGGCTAGTAAACTAGGCGTGGCAATAAACATGGTATAAAACGTGTTGATATTGACTAAATATTGTTAGCAAAATTATCATCACTAGATTGGTAAATTCCTGTACTCTTATAAAATTGCTATACATATTATTTATTTCGTCACCCATTTCTTCAGTCTTCCAGATGTACGTAAATATTATAAATCCATTCGTATTCAAGACTCCTTTAAAGATTAATCACTGATTGTTATCTATTATCCTGATCACAAGCAGATGAATAACTTTCAGTCAGTCATTTTTATTGAATGTTTACAAGATAGGAAGTTGGATAGATAATAGGTTTTGTCATCAATTACAACTACACAAAATCATATAATAAGGTACGATAGGGTAAAAATATTAAACAGCAATGCCGCCATACGGAAAGACGTTAATTACTAAATCCTTTGTCATCGAAACAGTAGAAAGAGTAATTAGATATTCTAAAATAAGGAGAAACAAATTTACAACTACGGATGTAAATATTCAAGTATTAGAAATGAAAAGTGAAGCATCAACATGAAACTGCCATCTTGAGATTGACCACAAAGCCACAGCTTCGAATAACTGCCTTCTGCAAATTTAATGGTATTCATCAAAGTGATTCATGATTCACTTAAGTTTCCATTTTGCTTAGACCACAGATTTCAAATCAGTCTTTCTGATGTCAGCATTTGATTAACGTAAGTGACAATTATAGTGACTTAGATAATTACCACGACACAATAGTAAATCATTATATTTCAAAGGTTGAAAAGTTGCTGTAATACGTCTCACTCAGCTTAAAGTAATTTGTGATTATAAGGCTAATGAGACCACGGTGAATTTTCAAGTAGGCGTTTATCTTCCATCAATGCATAATGTAACTATGCAACTCACGCGTCTACAGCAACAATACCACTGTCGTAGATGGTATCAAACGGAAGCGTAACGTATTCTGTTTTGCTTTCTATAGAATGTGGTGCTGTACAAATTAGCTGTAGTGTTGCCCTAAATCTGTCATAATTAATTGGAAGGAAAGCTGTTTTAGCTAATATGCTAATTCTGAAACAAATCCTTTACTAACAAACGATGGTTATATCCACATGTGAATTAAAATTAACCTCTTAATGGGGTTTAGTCGGCCTGGTGAAAACTTAGAAATGTATCTCAGTGTCTGTTGGTTCAAAATTTGCTTTGAATCACAGAAATTAGTGTGGCATGGAAATTTCATGAAGGTAGAACTAGTGACTACTGCTGTTCTAAGCATAAGGCACTTTTACTGAAATGTTTTTACATAATGACTATTTATTTGCTTCAAAACATTCTTGAAATACCCTAAGGATTTTAAAAAATATTCCATCTATGGAATTCTTCTAAATTGATAAGCTTTTCCTTTCTACTTATATCGCTAGAACTTCCTTGTGGAAATGGATAGAAGTTTTGAACGCTCGAACACGTCGGAAATAGAAGATATCATTGAAATCCCAGAGGATTACAAGTAAGATTTACTATCAGTGTCCCATCATTCACAATAGCTTACTGATGACGTTAATTACTTCATACCCATAGTGCCTCAATTAAATTAATATTCAAATGACAGTGTATGTGGTTGTCTAGATTCGAACCAAATTCTGTAAATCAAATGTACAGAAGCAAAATAAGTACACAGGCATGCAGCTGATTGTCTTCCACAAATTTTTTGTGTGAATAATAGTGGATATTGGTAACAACTGAATACAGACTAGTTCTAATATATTTTTCTACACGTCAGAGTAATTCACACGCATAAGACTTGTGCCTAAACAGGCGAATTCAACTGAGTTCAGAGTTCAACACTAAAGTCATACAACGATTAACAACCCACAAAACAACTTTTTCACTTTACCACTTTGAAAGCTAATTAGTCCAACAAAAATCTATAGGTCCATTAACTCTAATATCTTGTGAGGTGTCGCCACAGCTCAATGTTTAAAGTCAAATTTGAGTATAATGCCTGTCTGAATTGTATTTGCTTTTGTATCGTTCGCAGTTGCAGACTATTTACAGAATAGACAACGTTTAAAGACTAAGGCAGAGTAATTAAGCTAAAAGTAGGAGAGGGGTGTCACACTCTAAAATTAAACAGCATTTCTAGCCAGAAATTTCAGCCACTGTACTAAATCGAGTTAACTGGTCTGATAGTGTTTAGTTAATAACTGACTAATATTCCTTTTGAAATTGGTACCAAGCATAACTATTAACAGACTTTTCCTTCTCCCTCATTTATAACGAAATTTAGTGGTTTCGAAGAAATGAAAAATTGTAAATCGCCAACAATCAGTCCAGAAGATTTAATTCAAAGCAAGCCTCCTAAGCACAGAAGATATTCTAGTTGGATATGGCTATGTGACACGACAATTACAAAAGAACGTATTAGGCGTCAGTTAAATCGCAGCAAAACAACTGTTGAAGAACACCTTTGTTACCCATGGTTACGACGTTTATTCTTCCACTTATCAAACTACTTCCCGAATTTGCATACCACTAGATCGTCAAGAAGACGCCGACCACATTCAGCCAACTTATCAGCAACATCATCTTTATCACATCGGCAGACTGATTTAAATCCTAATAAAATGTCTAATTTTTATGCCCATGATCCGACGAGTATAGCATTTAAAGATTGTGAATTTCGACAATCGACCAGGATAAACCCATCTAGGTATGCTAATCCAAATGCCGAACTGCGGCATACAAAAAATTCTCCAAATATATCTTTTATAATGGGAGACAACAGTAGTAGTATTAATAATGGAAACAGTAACCTTAACACTAAATCAAAACGGAGACCGCTACAGAGACAGAAATCAAACGGATTCACTGAACTTGATGTAGAACAAGAGACAAGCATCAAAGGAAGGTAAATTTATTCAGATTTAACTATGATTTTCCATTAACATTAGGCAACCCATAGATCGGCAAAATTCGTAGTAACTACAGTGTTTAGTGTTCACACACACACACTACACCTGAATTCACTGACACTTATGACACAGTTATTACAGGACTGTTGATGACTAACTGGATGTTGCTATATTCACCTAATAAACTTTATTATCTAATCACAGTTATATCATAAACGACCTGATAAGGCCAAGGATGGGAAGACTTCTGTCTTCCTCTCCCAAATGCTCTCGCGTAGCCAAGCGTTCATGACCCGTGTGAGGTTAGTCCCATTCACTACCTTATTGTGGAGGAATGTTCCTTACAAATTAGAATGGGCGAATGCTAACGTCTGTGGCTCATTATCGCACTGACAGACATGCAGATCTACCTAGAGGAGCTTGGAAACTTCGATTCCGAAACTATAGTTAACATAGGCCCCAGCATCCGAACATATCAAATAGCTCCATTATGGATAAGACTTTATTTTGATAAATCACAGTGTTATAAAGTAATATTAACTGATGACGTTTCGAGCACAAACTATTGCTCAGAATCATTTCAAGTTGATATGATATGAACTTGAAATGATTCTGAGCAATAGTTTGTGCTCGAAACGTCATCAGTTAATATTACTTTATAACACTGTGATTTATCAAAATAAAGTCTTATCCATAATGGAGTTATATTCTACCACAGTGCCCAGGTTTTATGCTTATATCAATATCGAATGGCTTATGAACTTGTTTCAGGAATTGAAGGCCATTGGAACGTACCTTCTGACGCTGCTTTTCTGCCATGGGGATCAGATTTCAGGTCAAAGGATCGTGGATTACATCGATGGTCCACGTACTTGCTTCGATCTGGGCGCCGGAACTGTATCTGGAACACATTCCAACCAGCATTTCTCAAACCATCCACTGTTTTGACATTTACGTAGGAATTTTTGTGGAATACTTTGCACATTGTTCAATATATTTCGAGCGTGAAGCACTCTAGTGTAACATGCCACACACTTTAACTACGGGTAAAGAATATCTCTAACCTTTACGCTTACAATTACAAATCTGTCAATACACATCCGGCGGTAGATATTCACTTTAGTAGAAGTACAGATGTGACACACTTTGAAGATAAGATTACTGACTACAATAAATCTTGACTAACTGATTTCAAGTATTACGGAAAAATTAACTGTTCCACTGATCAATCTTCAGTTGAACAATTTCGATATAATTTGGTCCTCAATTCGGTTTCATTCTCATTTGAATGGTTGAATAATAAATTATCTGACAGGACATACTGGGTATCAAATGTTAGCAGTTTTGACGCAATAACAGTTATTTTACAGTCATAAATACAAGCCGAAAAGAATAATCACTTTGCTAAAGTGTTTATTAATGGCAGATCGGATGCTTTTTATGTTCAAAGCTCCGATTTCCTGATACGGGTCAATATTGTGACTTAAGCTAGCCACCAGTGAAGAATAGTTTATCTAAACAAAACCAAAACTTATTTCTAACAAATATTATTGTTAGGGGCCCTAGATTTACATGCCTGAATTTCACTCTGTTCACGGGAAGTTTGTGCATTTCTACTGAAACACTATAAATCTAAACAAAATTAATTTTTCTGGACAAAATGCACATAAGCCTTCACATCCTAAAATACTCGTCCACCTGAATTTCCATTAAAATCAAAACATAAAAGACCACAGATTGTGTTTTCTGCAATCCAATAGTCATAGAGGTGACGATACAAAGTATTAATTAACATCGATGATTAAAGCTGACCTTTGTCGTTTTGTAGAACTTACTGACTGAATCGGTGAAAAATGTAGTATATCAGCCTCTGCTATGTATCGACTTCTAACCATATATTGAACAAAGTTGAAAAGCATGGATTTTTTCATTCGATGGCTTTCAGGTTGGTGTTGACATTGAATAAGAACTTCTTTCAAAACAGTTTCACGCATAACTCCATTATAGATAAGATTTTATTTTGATAAATCACACAGTATTATACAGTAATATTAACTGATGACGTTTCGAGCACAAACTATTGCTCATAATCATATCCATGTGATTATGATATGATTCTGAGCAATAGTTTGTGCTCGAAACATCATCAGTTAATATTACTTTATAACACTGTGATTTATCAAAATAAAATCTTATCTATAATGGAGTTATGCTCTACCACAGTGCCCAAGTTTTATACTTATATCAATAGTTTCACGCATGGAATGAATCGTTTTAGTTATTTTCTCATCATTTATAAAAGTTGTCACACTTTCCTTCCCCCCCCCCAGACAAACCTCAGGTTCGTCATCTGAAAACACCACACGCATTTTACCGGCTGGAATTACAGGCAAACACTCTCAGATAGAGGCGAATTCAATTCACCGAATGAGAGTGGCGGACGACAACTCAGCTGGCCATAAAGTCCCAGAAAAAGAGAATTACTCCCCACCGAAATCAGACAGTGATGGAAATTCACAGCTAGTGAGTTCACCAATGTATAATTCATCAACAGAATACAAAAATCACTTCCATTTACAACCGGTGAATGGTGAACGGTTTACGCCTAGATCATCTGGTATTAAACTATCCGATAATCTTATAACCCCAAAAAATCGTCGAGCATATATGACACGTTCAGCCAACTTAGTCTACGATACACTAGATGAAGTCTCCAATAACTTCGTTGTTAATGACCGGTATAATTCTGTTACACCTGCAAATCCCAGAGTATACAATTATAATAGTAATAACGATATTACGACTAATATCAACAATATCACTACCATAAGTAAACCTGCCAATCATCGTGAAATGCCTGGTAAGTTAAATATTACTACGGTTTTGAAACAGTTATTTTACTGTTAAGAATAATATACAATAAGATGATTTTACAGAAATATAAAGTAGAAAACTAACTACTGGTGGTTGATTAAACACAACCAGTTAAAATTCTTAAACCAGTCGCTACAGAAGCACTCCGGTGACTACAAATGAGCTTCTATAGAAATACGTAATGGATATCATGTCACTGACGACTAACTCCAAATATAAAACATTGCGATTTTGGAACATTCCAAAGCGCAGCCACAGTGCTAACTTGGTTGGTGCAATTCTGTCAATACTTGTTGCAACTAAACAACATGATAATGACTGCTATAAGTGAGATGAAAATAAAAATTAAGTAGTCTGTAAATATGTTGGTTTGTCACGGATGCAACATCAAATTCAATCCAAATCTGTTCAAAATTAAAAATGCCAAGATCAGTTTCCAGCTCACGATACGATACGATGAATATCCTCAAGCTGGAATGTGGAGTCTTGGCCGATAGACTCCAACATGTTAAGATGAAACGGAATTAATTAGCGGTAGCGCTGTATCACGAACGGACAGAATTCAGAATTATCGAGAGGGCAAATTCCAAAACAGTGGCTGAAAAGTTAACTAGCTCGCCTCTTCACTTGAAGCTTATAGTATCAGAATAATCGATTACTATGATTACCATAGAATGTTTCAAAATTCTTTAACTGAAATTACAAGATTTTTTCAAACACACCCGTAGTTTTAATAAACCAACATTTTAAGCGATAAAAATAAAGGTGTAAGAGACAAGTGAGAAATTAGCAGGCACTGAGAGAATGGAATATCTTCAAAGATCTCCTCAGCTCCGTAAGTGATATCTGTTTCTAAAAACACCACTAAAAAAGGAGACGCAGATACATTAATTCATGAAAAGTAACGTCTCATGATACCACCCAATTGTTCAAAAGCAGAAGAACCTATAAGGCGATAAAATGTTTATTGGGAGTCACTCACAAATGCCAACTTGTTTCTTCATCTAAAAAAGTCTTCATTGTATATTTCAATCTTCTAAAGTGATCGTTTCCACTGATTTCAAATGTCTACTGGAAACGCCGAAATACTTTGATCAGTAATGAACAATGTGGGTTTATCATTGCATACCATTGCGAAATTAGCTTCAATGTTGTTTCTTCCATGAGATGACTAAAAAGATGCATTAATCAGACTTTTTTGAACTGGTAAAACAACTGATCACTACAGACTAAGTTATGCAATGACTAGCGGATGATACTCTGGCGTTTGGAAAACTGGAGGTTGAATTTCATTTTTATTGGGCATGATATCACTCACCAGGATGTAAGCACATTCTGCTGAAGAATTACTTACTAGCTATTAAGGGAAGATTATTTTCAACTGTGTAAGACAACATGACTTCTCAAGTTTCCCCATGCTGGTAAACACTTCACTTCCTGGGATTAAATTTAGACTTTGTAAAATATCCCTTCACCTTCTTATAAAACAATACAATAAGTACAATCAAACAAATGCTTCCCACTTTATCCACTCAGATAATCAGTACTGCATTCAATACAAACGAGTAAAGGCAAGAAGAACAAGTTCAAGTTCCCAAGCCGAGTTCATTAAAACGTCGAAAAACAAAGGTTGTGTGAAAGAGAGACCGGTACAAGATAATTATCAAACAAACATTTATTCTCCAAGGCAAATAAATGAAGACTATACTAATTGCACAGTAAATTCCGGTATTTACGCATTAAGTTGTTTACCAAAAGATCAAGATCCAGTACAAAAGCATGTAGAAACATGGTTAAAACAAGCTGTAGCTCGGAAAACACAAGGGAAAGTGCAGTAAGTTGACATTTACATGTTCATATGCAGGCAAATAAGAGTTCGTATATGTAGACATACTGAATAAGATTTTTTAATTTTTTTGTAGTATAATTATTTTTCAAACTCATACTGAATTCCTATTTATTTTTCAATTAGTATTACACATACTACATACTACTCTCACTTGAACAGCAACAGAATGGCACTAAACTACAGATCACTTCAGCCATTTGAAAAAATTATACGATTCCTGACTATGTGTGAATTGCATATCTATAAACTCTGAGTACTATGTTAAGGAAATAAATTTAGGCAATATTCTTCGCCTTAACTTTTCACGCTTCGGTCTCCTAAACTCTAAGCAAACTTGTCTAGGGACGAACGGTACTCCATTTATTTCATTAGCTCATTCGAATGAGCTGTACTAGAAAGAACAACAAAAACACCTTCAAATTACATTTTTAATCTAGATTCTAAAATTTTAGAGTATAAGTAAACATCACATAAATGCAGTCAAACTGGTAAAGATTTTTATGAAATTTAGTGCGCTTTAATATCTGAACCCATGTTTCATTTTCATCAACTTTCTTTGAAGAAATGTACTTGCTTACAATCCTTCAAATTTCACACTTCTGCATACGTGATATTATCATACAGTGTGTGAAACGAAGATGCTAGTCAAGAACTAGACTTCACATTTTGTATGCAGATATACTCCACATTCCCAATAGTTCTCAATAAGCATAAAGCAGAGGATCGCAGCCGTCAGCTGATAGGAATTGGAACTGGGAGTACCTCTATGTTGTGTAGTTAAGGTTGTTGGGAAAATTAAGGTATCGAACACTATGACGTAACTTGGCAAAAACACAATATCTTTTTCCGAATAATCAGCAGCGTTAAATAAAATTTCAGCATCTTTTTACATGATAACCTAAAGTAACTGGCACATTTTCGGAATTCCGAAAATACTAGTGTATATAAACTGATTAGTAGTGCGTCTGACGTTTCAAAGAGTATTCTGATTCAGGGTTTGCTGAGTACTCTTCTGGTCTTGTATCTTGAGTCCGAATTCTATGGTAGATCAAAGTTAGAAAGACATACACTGTCAGCTCACTTAGCCTAAGAGGTAACTGGGTAAAACATGGATGATTGATCAAATGAGTATAATGCTTTTCCTTTAAATATTACTTTATAGTCCTTATGACTCCATAAATAACAGATCAACAACAAAATAGCAAAAGCAGTACTATTCAGACTCATGGTGATGCTTAGAAACTGAAGTACGTGTAGCAGCACCATAATCTGAAATTATTAGAGACCAAAATACTTTTTAATTTGTTTGTGGTAAATAATTCGCTTAAAATTCCTACAGTCATTCATATTTATGTTTTTAAGCTTTTTATCAGTCGGACATGTAGATTCGTGATATTAATAATAATAATACCTTTAGATGAATCCGGTTTATAGGTTCATAAAGTGGTTAGCAGAAGTTCACTGCAAGAGAAAGAAACCAAGGAAACATGAAAAATAAGTTCACTCATCTTAACACTGATTACCAGAATCTGCCGACTTCATATCTCTAAAACTGATCATAGTGAAGGGAAAATTAACAGAGATTTCATGTACAGCGTACAGTTTAGGTGATTTAACCAACATGGTTTGAAATGAATTACTGATCGACGTAAGAAATGATATTATATTCACAAAATGCGTATGCATTTACCGTTATACACTGTTATTTTCCTTAAACACTAGGATTCGAAGAAGTCACATGTCACATGTAAGCAGTGGTGAGGCTCAAAGAGAACCACCGGAAACTGTTACGCCACAACCTCACAGTTTTGACGCGCCAGTCTCACTATATCCTGATGAGTGCTTATTCACTGCTGGATACATACGGCGTAAGCCATTTAGTATCAGCCTACATACATCAACTGATAGCCAGCAAATCAAACAGCCATCGATTACAAGAGACAGTGTCGATGCACCCTGTTATTTTGAACCGGCATTCGAAAAGTACACCGAAATAAACAACAACGACAACAGAACAAATGAAAGGCTAAATCTGCCCCTATATGATCACACGAAATTATATCGTAGACATAGCGATAATCCAATATCTGAGGTATGCAACAAAAATTATAAACTATCTCAAGAAATTCGTCATGTCAGTCATGCTACTCATAATACTAATAGTAGTCACACAAGTAGAGATTATGATTTTTCACCGTTTAACTCTGATCGTTTATTGGTGACTAACATGTCACGCGAACGTGCCAGTTCGTTTCAAGAATCAAATCAGGTAAACAAAGAGTATTCATATCATATTAATAATCAAGATATTTTTAATAATAAAAGGCCTTCGTACAATAAAAATAACAGTAATAATTTGCCCCTTAGTCATCATCTAAGTATTATGCATACTGACGTCGAAAGATCGATAAATCCGGCAAACTTAAAGCAGAGTCATAGTTTCAGTGAAAGGTACAAAATTCCCAAACTACCGACATTTACACCTCCATTACAGAAATATCGTCTCAAGCACACCTTATCAGAGGAAAACAGAAGAAATATGACGCCTTCAGCGTGGAGTAACAAGAATACATCACAGTCATTGCGTAAAATGATAGATTTAAACAAATCTCTACAAATCCCAATAGATTCAAATTATAGCCAGCAGATAAACTATGAACTAAACAGACGTGATTCAAAATATTCTAAAATGCTACAGCCTAATTCCTCCAGTGACTACTCAGTATCTCATCCACATCTTTTAAATATGCACAGTGAAAGACGCTATTCACGACACTTAAAGCCATTGGACGCCTGGCAAAATAGACAATCACACAGTATGGAGATTGTTAACTCCATACCTATCAATCAGCGTTCGTCATCCAGCCCACAGAAACGCAGTCCGTTATCCAAACAAACAGCTATTCGTAAATTACCAGCTGTTTATAGTCGATCACTTCAACATTCCACATGTTCATTTCCAGTTCATTGGGGTGGCTTTCTCAGTGGACCAACACTATCTCTTACATCAGCATTTGATTCATCAAGTTTAACACCCGATTCCCTAAACCATAAACACTTTTTCCGTAGCTCTTTAGATTCGCACGAAGCAACGCAGCCTGTATTAGTGCAGCAACAACAACAGAAACAAATTCAGCAACGATTACAAAAATCTTACAGAAGTATGTTTTCAGCCTCAGCTTCGGAATCACCTAACAATTTGATTGGAACAGAGGAATCGATAACAAGCAGTCGACACGTTAAAAGTTTACACCAATCGCGAATAAACTTATTACCATGGTCATATAACAACAATAGTAGTAATCCGACACAACCGCTTGCACGTAAAGTCCATAGTTTTGAATTGAATTCTAATCCTCACTACCAAAAACTGTTACCTGATCTTATTAGGAATAATTCACCTCTATTGAAAGTCAACGACAATCAGTTATCAGGACATTCAGCTTACTCCTCAAGACGTGGTTCATCGAATAGTAATAATTCTGTGTTCTTACCTAAAGAATGGAGATTTTCCAAGCCCAAGGTAAACAGCGAAATTCCCTCTGTTCAGAATTCAGTATTCTACAATGCCGACAATTACCACAATCCTAAAGGCAATAACCCCATCAATACTGATACTGTGTCACAATCAGTAATTCAGGACAGTTCGACGAAACCAATAGAAAAGCTTATACCACCGGACCTTATTTTTAGTCCAGCATCACGACGTGCTTCAATGATGGATGAAGATATATCGGGCATTCAAGATTCAACTTTAAACGTCACAAGTGGTTTAACAGAATTTCATTTAAATCACCCAAATGATGAAATCACTACTCCTAATGTGCCTATCGAAACACTTCACCAAGATGTTATCAGTACAAAAGGTATGAATAATACAAATCCACTTTATTATGAAAATAAACATCCCGGTCAACTAATGTCGACCTATTTACATGAATCAGATCAACACAACTACACATCACACCATTACTTTCTAAAGTATAGCAGACATAAGTCAGCAGATACATTCATCACACGAAATGGACTGAATTACTTCAAACATTTCTATTCTCACAGGAACAGCTCAACCATTCATCAGAACTCTCCAAATTTATCCGAAAGCTATTCTTCGTCAGATCATCAAAGCATAATACCATCACCACAATTACCTATATTAATTAATAAGGCCTATAAAAACACTTCCCAATACCAGTCACATATACATGTGGCATGTTGTTCACAAACTGACATGAGAAATATAGAAAATGCATGGGATTCTGTGGGTAAGGTTATCAGTAATTATCCTAAACATATTAAACATGTCAGCACAACAAACTCTGCTTTTGATTTAACCTGCTGCCATAATGTGTCAACCTTTCCAAATGCTAATAATCAAGATAGCTGTAATGATGATAGAGGTAACGAAGACAATATCATTAACGTTGTCAAAACACAAGACTCACTCATTCAAATACATCCATTATCAGATGAAGAACTCAGTGACAAGTCCGTACCTGAATCTTCAACATCATTATCACTGGTATGCAAAGATTATCTCTTCAACAGTTCCCGTGGAAATGAGATAAACACTGTTGATCCGTTACTTTTGAAACCTTCCCTAAGGCCGATTGTTGACAGTAGTGAAGAAAACACGAGTGACCTATATGAGAATGATACCTGTTTCATTGATCGATCAGAACTCATAAATATTTCGAAGAAATCAACAGCTACGTCAGCCGCCAACCTAACACAGTCAACGTATCAAAGAAACAAAAGTGCAACAGTATTAAATACGAATGTTTCAAACAATGATAATATTGATAGTCATGACGCCAGACGAAGAAGTTTTCTAGTTAGATACTGGCAACAAGCTATTCAGCAAGATGATGAACAAGGTCATGAAGACAACGGCAATATTTATGAGTCGGAAGATGAGTTCAGGAAAAAGAAGAACAAAATAAGTCGATATGAATCTACAGGTGTACTGAACCATTACAAATGTAAATACAATGGTGATGATGATACCCATAGCATAGATTATGATGACGATTGTGACGATGATACCGACAAACAGAAAAATCTGGGGGACCCAACAATAGCATGTATAAATAAATCATTAAATAATGCACGTTGCAAATCAAGTGAATCCGGACTAAACTACCTATACAACAATAGAAATGATAATAATCATCAAATCAATAGTAGTATAGTGAACAATAGTAATGAAACATACTTCAGACAAATTCCACTATCAATGCGTTACCGACAACAAAAACAAGAAACAGACTATTATAATACAAATATCAAACCACGAATAAAATCAAAATATCATTGAACACCATGGTTTGTATAGTATAATTAGACTTTATTCTATGAGACATACATATATATAATGTTAATGTAATATATATATATATATATATGTCCAGATGGGTTGACAAACTAATGCCTGTTTCACAAAACAGAAAATAAGATAGAATACATGTTTTTCTTGCTGGTTCGGTTTTTTAAATCGTTTCTTTAACAAGTGCTTTGGGAGCAAATGAATATATACATATGATAAGATAACAATTAGGGGTCCAGAGGAACAAACTCACCAATGGTCCAGAAACGCACTAGTAGAGGAAGTTAGCTAAACCAGGTAAAAGACACCAAATTTGTAGAAAAATGATGAAAGAAGAATGTTAAACAAGATATCCGGCTAAATTGGGGTACCGTTAGGAAAAGTTTAGGATGGGGATTAAGCTAGGAATTAAGGCTAGTTTAAATTAGGCCACAGAAGGTTAGAGTTATGTGGTATTACATTACGGTCAGGTTAAGGGAAATGAGCGTTACAGTTATGTATGGAAGAGATTAGGGTGAGGTTTAGGTAAGAGTAGACAAAAATTAGACTAAGGGTTCATTTAGGAACCCGAATTCGTTTTCGAGGGTGATTGGTTGTCTCAAGGTCACTGGTTCACTCTAATCACCTGGATCGCCATTCTTAAACTTTGCCAGAATATCATTTCCGACTGAAGTTCTGAATCATATAGGCTTACTAATTGATTTTAGACGGCGAAGGTTGAGTATCAAAAAACCAGACTCATTTAAAACAAGCACCACATATTAACTGCAAGTAAAGAATAAATAAACAAGTTATGAAACGATATCCAGTTAGTTATCTCTTATAATGTACATTCAAGCCATAGTGAGGGAGAGAATTTAAACTTCTATTAAGACTAAAATATATTGGATTCCTACCATGAGTTTATATATACATAAACTAATTTCTACTTACTGTTACATCTCGACCCATTCTCAGCGTAGAGCAGTAGGGTATGAGCAAAGAGTTATGACAATCAAAAACTGGTCGATGTTATGAGTATAATTGATTTCAAATGATTAAAAAATGCCCATTAAAATTTTCAAGAGAATGGTTACTAAACAAAGAATACCCTTTTCGATAACTTCATCATCAGGTTCTACGGTTGTGTATACATTATAGTGTTCAGTAACCATCCTTTGATAATTAATTTCCCATATTCATATCAGTTTCTTCACACAGCTTCGTAATTTGCTTTGTATAACTTTTTTAATGCAATTCTTCATTTATCTGACTTTCATTACTTTGTTTCTATCTCGTATATTTTGCATTGTATTATTCTTGTTTCCTTTAGTTCCTAGAGTAACATAGGGCTTCAGCCGCACGTCTCCATTGCATTCGGTTCTCTGCCAACGTTTTCCCCTGGCTTCACTTCTGCCCACATGCTTTCATCTCCTTTCCACGTGACCTCATCCATGTCACCCTTGGACGACCAACTCGCCGCTTCCCGTTCGGATTTCACTCAAGGGCTTGTCCTTTGATATCACTTGATGGTTCTCTCAGAATACGGCCAATCCACTTCCATTTCTTCCTGCACATTTAGTGCACAATCGGTTCTTGGTTGGTTCGCTCCCTGAGATACCTGTTGCTGATCTTTTCTGGCCATCTGACGTTGAGCACTGAGCGAAGACAGCTGTTAATGAAAGTCTGTAGTTTGTTTGAGGTGCTCTTTATGACGCGCCAAGTCTCTGATCCGTATCATAGCACTGACTTTACATTGAAGTTGAAAATCCGGATCTTGTTTTCCATGCTGAGTGCTGTCCACCTCCACACAGACTTGAGAGAAATGAAAGCTAGCCTTGCTTCCCCAATTGTTGCTTTGATATCCTAGTCAATTCCTCCCGTAGTTGGAACGATGCTTCCCAGGTAGGTAAAGGGGGTTGCTTCTTTCAAATTTCTCCCATTTATGCTGATTGTTGTCTGTTGTTGCTGCTGTTGTTGTTGGCCAGGAATCTTCATCACCTCTGCTTTCTCTATGTTCGCCTGAAGGAAGTCCTATCTTTGATGCTTCTTCAGCCTGTTCCAGTTGAAGTAGTATATCAGGAACGAAGTAACAACATGTTTGGCACACTGAAAAGAGCAATCAAAGAAGAGAACCATGAGAAGAATGTTGCCATATGATGCAGAATCCAAGAAGCTATCGAATGAGACGATATTCGACCAATTCGTCAAGGATGTGGTGAAGATGTGCAAATGGCCGGTTTAGAATATGGTATTCCAAATTTAGCTATGTACCATACGTTTCACCAAATAAACAATCCTTTCAGTCTCCTCAGTCTTGTCTTCTTCACACATCCAGGGCTTGTTTGATTCTCTCCAGGGGGCATAATGCCGCGCGAGTTCTTTCATCGACCTAAGTCCGCTTTCTTTGGCAGTTTGAATAGGCAGCCTTTCCTCCAATCCTCGGGTACCTTGCCCTCTTTCCACACCTTCTCCAGTAGTGGCGTCATCAAGTCCACTGTTGTCTCTGGATCCATTTTCAATGCCTCTGTTGGGATTCCGTCTGGTTCTGCTGCTTTTCCAGCTTTCAGCATCTTGATTGCCTTCAGGATTTCTCTTCTTGTCGGAGTATTGATGTCCACTGGTAGTTCTGCTTCCGTTGTTGGCATTATTGGGCGCGTTGTAGGTGGTGGTCGATTTAGGAGTCTTTTGAAGTGTTCAGCCCAGTGCTTCTTCTGCTCCACTTCTTTGATGATTGACTTTCCATTGGCATCCTTCACTGGCTTAATTGGTGTCCAACTTTTGCCCGAAAAGTACCTAGTTGTTTGGTAGAGTGTTGCGAGGTCCCCTTTGCCTGCAGCTTGTTCTGCTTCACTTGCCATGGCTTCATAATGTTTTCTGTTGTCTTCCCTGGCACTCTTCTTTAACTCTTTTGTTCAGTTTATTGTAGCTTGCATTCAACTCCTGTTTTTGTTGCTCGTCGATGCACTGGATAATCTTTTGTTTCACCATCCTTCTCTCTTCTATTAGTCTTCATGTGTCCCTAGTGAGCCACTGTTTGTCCGGTCTCTTCTTTCTGCCTAGAACTTCCATGGAGGTTTGACTCCACACCGCTTTCCGGCTGTCCCAGTGCTTTTCAACGCTGGTCTCTTCGCTAGTGTTGATTTGTGTCTCCACCTTCTCCCTCATGTTTGCAGTGAAGACGTCCATTGTGGCCCGATTCTTCAGTTTTTGATTATTGAACTTGGCTTGTGGTCTGTCTGCAGCTCCTGTTTCTTTGAAATATTTTAGTTTGATTTGGATTGTCCCTTGTACGAGATAGTGGTCTGAGGCAACGTCTACTCCTCTTCTTACTTTTGTGTCCAGTAAGCTGCGTCTCCACTTTCCTGAGATTGAGATGAAGTCAGTTTGGTTTCTGGTTCGCCCATGTAGCCTTGTGGATATCTTTGTGCTTGTATACGCTGCCGCCAATCACTAGTTCATCGAAGGCGCAGAAGTCGGCGAAGAGTTCTCTATTTACATTCATTTCTCCGAGAGCTTCTCTACCCATGATGAGTTCTCTTCCTGTGTTGTCTGATCCCAGTTTGGCGTTCATATCTCCCATTAGTATTTTAATGTCACCAACTGGAGTATTGTCCATTGTTGCCTGGAGTTGTCTGTGGGATTATTCTCTCATTTCAAGGTCTGCGTTGTTTGTGGGTGTATGGCATTGTATGATTGTCACTCTCCTTCCTTTTGAGTTGAATCTGGAAGTCATTATCCTGGGCGATATCGCCTCCCATTGCATCAAGGCCTTCTTTGGCGTCGGTGGCATCATGATAGCCACACCCTCGGTGTGCATGTGGACGACCGGAGAAGATTATCGACTCTCCCGTTGACAATTTGATGAGCCCACTTCCATTCCATCTCCTTTCGCATATTCCCAGTACTTGAATTCCATTTGCAATGTGAGAAGCTTTGCCAGTCTCATACATGGTGTGGACATTCCATGTCCCCAAACAGACTTTTTCTTTTGTCGCACGGAGACTCATCGTGCTGAAGTTTCTGTAGCAACTTTGTTTACAGGGTGCGGTTGCTAGCCTCACGCTTATATTTCGCATTGACTGAATGAAAAATTATTCATCTTGCAGTTTTCAAATTATTAAGGATAGTAGGCATTAAGCTCACATTAATGCTCCCATCTCGCTGTTCAATGTAGGTCCACTCATCCTAAGTGGTTTACAACCTCTCTTAAATCCTGTACAACGTAACCGCAGGTAAATTAAAGCCATTTATCGAGTAGTTATGCATCTTCTTATGAGCGATAGGATACAGGGTTGCACCATTCAAACGGCTAAAGTAGACCTTTTAAATAAAATTGATCACTATCATTGTGTAAAGCCTTTCAGAGTCCAACATTCTGGATGAAAATCATACCGGACTATTTAGTTGTCAACCGTATCTCATTTACGTGAAGTGAGAAAAGGAAATGTCCTAGAACTGTTCCTTCAGACACGCCACGCTTCACAAGTCGCCATGACGATACGAACCAGTTAAACCTCCCTCTCTCTCTGTCTCTTATAACTAAGGAAGTCAAAAATCAAGTCTCTTACTGCTTCATTAATCCCAAAATTACCTGAGTTTAGCAGAAGACCAAGACGGGGAACCTTACCGAAAATCTTGCCAAAGTTTACAAATGTAGCATCTACCAAACTACTACCATCGATTCTGTAATTCAAATTTTCCAGTCGGGATGAAGTTTGGTCAAGCAAGAATGACTTGATCGAAAGCCATTCTGTTCGTCTGTGGAATAATATTATCAAAGCTAAATTTCCCTGGCGGTTTAACTCCAATAATAATTAGACTAACGACGCGGAAGTACTCAAGTGAATTTCTAAGTCTGGATTCGAAGACAGAAGTGGTGATGCCATACACCCCTGGCCAGTTGAACTACGGAGAACTGTTCATAATATAACAATCATGAACGCCGTCCTAGGAAATTCCGTCAATATTCCAATTGCTACATTCTTGACGTTGAACACCAGTTCACTTTCATGAGGTTGATGAATTACCAGACGTCGCTAGGCAACTGCTTGAGCTTCAATTGCCAACAGACATGAACACTGCACTACAATCAGTGGGTGCCTACAAGAATTCTAAAACGCTTTGTTATAATGTGTGATTCCCAAATCTAGATTTCAAAATAGCAACATTTATATCACTAATGGTGAGCGAATTGCATAACTATGAACAAAAGATTTATTTGTCCAATAATTCTCTTTTCAGGAATTAGATTGCAGGGATATTATTCGTTTCAGGTTACACCATGGATTGTAATCAGTTATACAACCATTGAAAAAACCAGGGAGTAATGGACAGCTGTCTCATCCTCTATTAATATCAGCTATTTTCCGCATGTGGCAGTATAAAACATTGTTGAGACATCGCAGTATACGCCTTTAAAAAGTTCGCTTCGCGCTCCGCCACCATTACTGCTTGATCGCTAGCTCCAAATGAATTATAACCACAAGGTCAAATTGCATTCAGTCAGAGACAAGATAGTCAGCAGTGCACTCAAATTAATACAACTCCGATGGTGAAATCATATTAATCCAAACGAATTCTCCCCAGCTACTTGGGTGAAATACAAATGAAAACATTCTGTTGTTCCTGCATCCTCTCAACAGTATAACTTAATTTCAGGTTTTTCATTCAGTCTAAGCATACACAACTCCATCTGACTAGAATTGTCACAAATATGACTGGGAATTCCACCGGAATTCACTTCTGACTAGAGGACTATTATTATACATCCTCTTTAGCCACGCCCTGATTGGGAAGTGGAACTGGGAATAAAAGGGTTAGTCATTGTCACTGATGTATTCATTAATATCCTTCTGTGTTTTATCTGAATTTCAGGCATTAGGGGA